AATTGACTTGAGCCGGAGTGACCTATGCAGCCATGGACTATTTGCAGAGCTGCTCAAAAGAGATGAGGAGAAAAGAGAAAGGTTCCCTCCACCTCTGAGGAGCTGCGTGCATTAGTCCGCAAACATTAAAAGCCCATTTCATCAGAATTTAGATCGGCCACAGCTCTAGTTGTGCCTCCTCCACATCCATATGTGTGCACTCCAGGAGAGGGAACACCGAGAAGAAAAGGTGTTTCTGCCCATGAAGCAGGTCGTCTATACCCAAAGGTGCTCCTGGGATACCCCGAATACACCAGAAGCTGACATTCCTGCTAAGGATCTGACTTTAGCACCCACGCACCCTCCCTAGCAAGGAGCTCCTAAGAGCAGAGGGGTTAGGTGTGTGGAACATGGTCATACCACCTAAGGCTCTGGTCCCGCCCAGGAACTGTGGACAATAATTTATTTAGTTCTGTATTTAAAAAACAAAACTTCCATAGCTAGTATAGCCCAAGCCTGAAGAGCTAAGATGCATTCTATCCCAGCCATGCCAACAGATGGTTCAGTAATAAAATGTTTCTATTAATATTGATATTAAGTAGCTTTTGGCAAGATGCGGGCTAAATCTTCTCCCCTCCTCCCAAATAATACTGGTTCATAAAATAAGTGGATGTGAATTAATTTTATTTTAGTCTTTTTGGGATACAGATCTTCCTTGACTTACGATGGTATTACACGCCTGAAGGACCATCCTAATTTTAAGATAAATATTGTAAACATTGGCAACACAGGACCCTGGAGAGCATGGGTGGTTTACCTGGGGATCCTGTGGCTGACTGGGAGCAGCCCAGCACTACCAGTTCCACAGGGTCTGATGCTAGCTGGGGGTAAAAATCAAAATTCATAGTATAGTTTCTATTGCATGATATCACTTTTGCACCATCTTAAAGTAGGAATAAAAAGTGAGTCAAACCATCATAAGTCAGGGACCACCTCTATTTAAGTTTTAAATATTCTACTTTATGGCATGCAAACCAGAGCCTCCATCACCACAGCATTGCCCCTGCCCCTTGTAAGACTTTCAGGCAGGAAGAGCATCATTCCATGGCCTGATTTGACATTCACTGAGTAAGTGTTTATAATGTGACTGATATTTATATAAAGTCAAACTCACTTTACCTCTACCTTTTCTGATGATGTGTGGAAAGAAATGTATTTCCCAAGGAAAGTGTGTCCCAGCATACCTAGTTGAGTGGTTCTAGAAAGGAAAAGGCCTAGGTGGGGGCTGTCAGCCTGACCTTGAGTCATTGCATTTATTGTCAGGTGCACTGTGCCCACAGGATATATTTTAAGTTTGTTGCCAATTCCAGGGTCTCCTCTCCACCACACCAGTCACCTCTCCTTGGACATTCTCACCTCTGCTTGCACAAATTCAGGCTGCCATCTTGCAGAAAAAGAGTGAAGAAGTATCTCTATGTTAGAGACTTTTGTGCCATGAAATTAATTCATTGCATGTGTCATCAGTTCTACAAATCCAAATGTCTTAGATTCAGTTAGCTTGGACTCAACAATTTAGGCAGGGATAAAAGACCATGGGAAAGGGGAGATGGCTAGCACATGTGGCAGAGTGAAGTGGAGAATAAAAGAGGGACATACTACTCGGCCATGAAAAAGACGGAATCTTGCCACAGTATGATTTCACTCATTTATGAACTATAAAGAAATAGAAAAAGGAATCAAACAAATAAAATAAAAAACCTTCGACTTTGACAACAGAATGGTGGCTACCAGAAGGGAAGCAGGAAGGAGAGTGAATAGATGGGGCAGGACCGGTGGGTGACAGATGGTGACTTTGCTGGTGGGTGGGTGAGAGGTACGCAGTTGCTGAGGTGAGGAGTACAGTGGGAACCCAAACAGTGTTGGAAACTAAAGTAATCTCAATAAATATTGATAGAAAAATAAAAAAAATTAAACACACTGCACAAACAAAAAGGGAGAGAGAGGAAATCTGTGTGAATACATAGGAAAACATTCGCCTAGTACCACCTTGTTTCTGTAGAGCATGTTAGTGCTATAAAGCATTTTACAGCATACAAGCTTATTAAAAAATAAGCATATGAGCTTATTTTAGAAATCTGCCTGACAGCATGGCAGACTGGAGGGGGTCCAGGCGACAGTGACAAGACCTGGGCTGGAACTAGCTAGCCTATTCCGAAGTCATCAGTTAACTCTGAGATGACTCTGAGCTTCTCTGAGACTCAGTTTCTCTGTTGGTTAAACAGAAACTAAATCATTGTCGATGCTGAAATTGCTTTACCAGCATGCGGCTGCATAATTGACAGTGGGGCTTCTGTGACATAAGGAAAGTTAGACCCAACCTCGTGGAGGAAAACGCTGATGTGGGACTAGTTATGGATCTGCTTGCTCATCAGCTGTTCACCTTGACAAAGAGGGTGAGCTTCTCTGAGCCTCTGCTTCCTAATCAGGACGTGAGGACAGTAAAACTCATCTTGGAGGACAGCTGTGCGTGTTTGAGGAGACAATGAATCAGTAGATCTGAAAGCATTTTTAAACTTCAATGATCTGTTAAAACGTGGTAACACACCATGTCCTACTATTACCACCACACAAAATTTCATTAGCCTTCTGAGACTTACCTGACACGGGAAACAAATGAATTCCTCAGCCCTTACTATCAATATTTGCTCAGCATAAATCCTGATCTGAAGAAAAGGCCATTTACAAATCAGGGGAAAGTTTAACTTTTTCACAGCCTGACATCCACAACATAGATTGGTAGGGGCCCCCTGCAAACCACATAGACAAAAGGTTCAGGACATGGACAGAAATGGCTTTTCTACTGTCATGGCAACCAAAACAACCTCTTTTATACACACCTTGCAAAGACCAACAAAATAACCAATAGTCCCAAAAATAAATACACCATCATACTTAGGAAGGCGGTACCTGTTCTTTCAGATTTTCCAAAATGATCACTGGAGCACACCATCAAGACTGGGCTGTGAAGTCCTGGACCCTCCTTTGCAAACACAGGGTCTTGTTTTATATGATTCACATTATACTCATGAAATTGTCGACTCACCACCACCACCCCCATACACACAGCCCTTCCCTGCACACTCAGGGCTGAGTTGAGAGTAATGTACTTGAACCTGTACAGTAGAAGTCTTGCATTCCAAGATGAGCTTTCATTCCCTTTCTTGGAATTACTATATATTATTTGGTACAGGCTTAGAAGGAACCTCATCTAAAGAGGAATAAATCTTCTACCCTACTCCACCTCTATTTCCTCCCCCAGGATGGTAAAATCACAGCAGGTCTTCATCTCTGGACAATATTCAGAAAGTCTTTTTTTTTTTTTCCCTTGCTCTCTGAGGTTCTTGAGTTTGCTGAGTTTTAAAAGCACTAGGAATCACAGGCCATAAATTTTAGCAGGGAAGTCTATATTTTAAACCAAACAAACTTTTAATTAATAGAATGTTATGGAAACCAGTTTTCATGGGCTGCAAGTAAAAGGGAAAAATAAATTTCTTTTTTAAAACCTTAATTTTGTATAATAATTTTGGCTTAAAAACAAACCCTTGAAACCAAAGTCAAAGATGGCAAATAGTTGAAGGATAAGATACCATTTATTCATCTCTTGTAATTTCCCATAAGGAGGAGCAGAATAAGTATTTGATAAATACTTGTCAAGTTAAATTATGTCAAAAGTTTCAGAAAGAAGATATTCATTAAATCAGAATATGTTTACATATCATTATTATAAAAGTTCCTTCCCCAAACAAAATTTTTTTTTTTTTTTAAAAAGGGAAGCTATCTTTTTATTTTTTTTTTTGTATTTTATTTATTTATTTATTCATTCATTTATACAAGCACTGGGTACAGTCAGAAGCGCGGGAGGGTGAGAGAATTCACCAGAGCCAGAGCAGGGGGCAGAGCAGGCAGAAGGACCGAAGTACACTGCTGAGGGGAGCAGCGGGCGGCAGGAGAGGTCTGCGCACCATGTGGGACCCTCCTCCGGAGGCCCGGGAGCAGCCGGGGATCGAACCGGCGCTGCAGAGGCTGCGGGCGGCTTCGCAACCCAGCGCTCAACCGCTGCGCCACCGGGGAGGCCCCCCAAACAAAATTAATAATGGTGTTAAGAGAAAATGAAGTTCATTTCTAATGAACTGAACAAACTATAAAGTCTATGCCTCACAGAAATTTGGGACGAAACTTAATTCTTGATTCATGCTGCTTCTTCTATCAGCCTTGCTGACCCTCAGAGAATTATAATCAACAACCTGGAGTTCTAATTAGTTAACCTCAATACATTCTTTCAAACTCTAAATGTAGATACACAGAGTAAAAACAAACAACATATATATGTGAGTGCACAAATACACACAAACATACACACAACTGTTTCAACCAACAGATTTAGGGATAATTGCTAGAAGTAAATGAGTATCTTGTCACGACCCATAAATTGCTAGAAATAAATGTCTGCCTTGTCAATCTGTCATTGCCTACCAGGGTTTTTTTCTCTTCTTAAATGAAGCACATCTACCACAGTTCTGATAAATAGTAATTGATTTAATCCTCTGAGTAACATGCATCTTCTGTACCATTATATACAGTTCTTGCCCAATATATTTACTGCACTTTTTATCGAGTAACATGGAAATGAGTGCTGAGTTGGCAGGCCTAAATAAATAGGCCTAATGTTCTGAGTTGCTCTCTCACATTGACAAAAATGGTGATAAAGTGGATCCTAATTGAGACAGAGAAGTAAAAGGACCACTTCTAATGTTGAGATGAATTTAGCCCCAACTGGAGTCTGCATCACATGCTCATGCTTTTCTGGCAGCACGCAGGGTTGGCCTTGAATCAGAGTGGCCCAGAGCACAGAGCCCTCTAACACAGTAACCTCCTGGCCCTGCAGTTGTGGCAGAGCAAGCTGACCATGTGAGCAGCTGCCAGTGGGGTGGGAGGAAGTGTAGTGGGTATAAGCATGTTACCTTCTTGCACACAGACAGGTTTATCACTTGGGATCCAACCTAGGGTTCCATTAAGATGTTTCATACACAGTCTCTTTGTAGAGCCCTTCAGCCTGAATCCGTCTTGGCAGTGAAATCGGGTAATAGAGCTTTCAAAGAAAACCCCTCCGCTGGGTGTCCTGAAGCCATTCTCGGGCACGCCTGGGTCAGCACACACCTGAAGGTCATCAAACCCTAAGATGACAGAGAGAAGAAAAGGTGCTTCTGAATATATTCTTCCAATGCCAAGGATCTTCCTAAATAGCTGATACTGCATTATTTCATACACAGCAGACCTAACTACACCAATAAGAAAGCCAAGACTACAACCATTCTGATGCACAGCTCACACTCTTTTTTTTTCTTTTTAATTGAGGTAAAATTGGGTTACAGCACTGTGTATGATTCAGGGGAATAAGCTGACACCTCCCCAGATGCATGTCACCATGCCACACCTGACCAAAGCATCCACAGTCCCGCACAACAGAACACTGGGCTCCACTTTGGCTCTCTACTTTGTTCCAACTTCCACTCTCCCTCTCCCTCTACTAGCCTCAATTCTACAGGCATATTTCTAGACTTTGTTTTGGTCTAGTTTTGTCAGTTCCCTTGTTTTGTTTCTCTGTATTCCAGATAGGAATGAAATCATCTGACTTATTTCACTAGCATAATCCCCTCCAATTCCATCTATGTCATCACAAACTGCAAGCATTCATCTTTTTTATATTTGAGTAGTATTCCACTGGGTATATAAACCACATCTTCTGTCACTGGGCACATAGGTCATTTCCATAACTTGGCTATTGTAAACAGGACTGCAGTGAACATAGGAGTACATGTATCACTTTGAATTAGTTTTTTTTGCATTCTACTGTGTCATGTGGTTGATCTATTTTTACTCTTTTGAGGAACTGCTATACCTTTTTCCATTTCCACCAAGAGTGTGTGAGGATTTCTTTTCTCCACAGCCTTGTCAGCATTTGTTATTTCTGGGGTTTTTTATATGTGTCATTCTTACAGGAGTGTGGCGGTATCTCATTGTGGTTTTGGTTTGCATTTCCTTGATGATAAGTGAGGTTGAACATTTTTCCATGTTCCTATTGGTCACCCGTATGTCTTCTTTTGGAGAAATATGTATTTGGCTCTTCTGCCCACTTTTAAATTGAGTTGTTTTCTTTTAATTGAGTTGCATGAGTTCTTTTTAGATCATGGATATCAGCCTCTTGTTGGATGTACATTTGCAAATATTTTCTTCCATTCAGTGAGGTGTCTTTTTGTTTTAATGACATTTCTTTCACTGTACAGAATCTTTTTCAGTTTGATATAGTTCCATTTGTTTATTTTTGCTTTTGTTTTTGTTGTTGGAATCAAGTGCTCAAATACAACTGAAGCCAATGCCCAGAGTGGTTTTACTTATATTTTCTTCTATGTATTTTGTGGTTTCCCATCTTACATGCATGTCTTTAGTCAATTTTGAGTTGATTTTTGTGTATGGTTTAAGAGAGCACTCTAGTTTCATTTTCTGATGTTAAAAACTGTGGCTGTCCAGTTTTCCCAGCACATTTGTTGAAGAGATTTTCCATTCTCCATTGAATAGTCTTAGCTCCTTTATTATAGATTAACTGTACATAGAAATATGGGTTTATTTCTGGGTTCTTAATTCTATTACACTGATCTGTGTGTCTATTGTTATAGCAAAACCATACTGTTTTGATTACTATAGCTTTGTGGAATAGTTTGAGTCTGAGAGCATGATACCTCCATTCTTTATTGTCATGATTGCTTTGGTTAGGCTACCCACTTGACCTGTTGCTTTGGGGCCCTCCTCCTCCAGAAATTGTTTCTAATATGTCCTGAAATCCTCTATTTTTCCTTTAGGAATTATTGATTTTGTTCTACTACAGTCTATCTGTGAGTATATGGAGGAGGTGAGCACAGTATTTTTACTCTGCTACCACTTTGCTGCTCTTCTACTTTCTGCTCTCAGACAGGGCACATTAGAATTTTCAGTTCCATGGCTAAGTCAGTGCTTGAAGGAGGTTACAGGAGTAGGGAGATGAAAAATAAACCACAAAAGCAAAACAAGATGTCTCAAGACAAGTACCAAAATTTGAAGGGAGCTGAGTTGGGAGAACTGCTCGGAAAGTGGTCAGAAAGGATGAGGGAGGAGATGGAGTCTGAGCTCCACTATGAAGGACAGGTTAGATTACAACTCTTTGTGGAGGGAGGCATGGGTGTCATTCTAACTGGGGACTAGCAAGAGCAATGACCAGGGACTTGGGGGAATGGGCTGAGTTTGGGGGCAGGAAGTAGACATGAGAGTTGTAGAAATGGTGTTCTGGGGACACCTCCCTATCCCTGTCCTCACTCCCATCTGCTGGGCTTAGTTCAAGTTTCTCCTCCTCTGGGTGCCTTCATTCCCTCACTCCCCCACCACTCCCCTTTTTGTTCCCATGACTATAATATGAACACAGCTCTGCAGTGAATTATTTAGACAATGATCACCTCTCCCTTCAAAGACAGGTCCTGCAACTTATTCATCTTTGTTCCCCAGAATCTATCATAGCGTGCCTGCTAGGAAGTGCTCCATAAATGTGTGCTGGATATATAAACAATTGGAAAGGGAGATGGGACATCACGGGGACCTAGAAGGCAGGGCTAAGCAACGAGGCAGGTGTGGGAATATGGGGCATGGAACAGGGCAGGGAGTATTGGCAGGTCAAAAAAAAAAGCAGCCTTGGGGTAACTGAAGGAGAGAGAGCCTAGAAATTCAGCCCGAAAGCCACAGCAATGGTGCAGGTAAGAGGTGATGGACCTGAAAGGGCAGGTGAGTGCTGGAGACAGCGAGGACAGTTCATGTGTGCAACATTCAGATCCAGGTGCCCTGACAGCTGGAGTGAAGACAAACCCAGAAACAAATATGTACAAGCAGCTTGGGGGAGGTCAAGACCAGTGTCCCCCATGTGTCTAATACTCCAAATGTACCCTCAAAGGGCAGGGATGCCAACAGAGAGGTGTAACTCCTCAATGCCATGAAGGCATTCCATTCCATTTTCTCCCTCACAAAATCCATCAACAAATCCTTACTGAGAGGTACTAAGAATAGGTATGCTTCTCCACTCCTGCCCCTAAGCAGCTGCTGGGGCCAGGTGGGGTTGGACACCAGCAACACATGGCAGAAGGGAAGGAACAGCCTGGGCCAATTTATAAAATCCCTACCCAGGAGGCACAATCATCAGGGCTCTTTGGAGGCTCAACTTGTTTCCGAGTGACCTCCAGAAACAGGGCTCATGAGCTATGTGATCCTCTCTAACATAAGGAACTTGCCAGATGTCCTCAGCTGGTAGGCGATCCCCCAACCCAACTTTTGTGCGCTCCTGCAGGACTCACTTGTTGCTCCCACCCCCAACCCTGAGCATCCTGCCAGTGCCATGTGCTGAAAGCCACACAGCCCAGGAGGCTCTGCCGTGCAGAAGAGAAGTCATGGCTAGGCACTCACTCATCAGAGGTGAGGAGGTATCCAGGATTGAGGGAAAGTGGAGGAGTCAGGCAGGAGGACATATAGAATCCACATCCAGTGGCCCTACCGGTTAAGTAGGAGCAGAGCTGAGTTTTGAGCAAACTGATGCTGTTTTCAGGAAGGAGACAGCATTGCAGCCCTGGGTCCCCTCCTGCCGGCAGTAGCCATGTTCCTGCATCTTGTACATCTGATGGCCTAGGCCTCGCAAAGGTAATCAACGTTGGATGTGGGGTGGACTGCAGGGGGGCAGATTATTGGCTAGTCATGATGTGATGGCTCCATGTTTTTATTTCTATGAATAGGATTGTAGGTTTGTCAAGTGATGGCTGTCACCATTTTCCTTCAAAGTCTGGTGGTCTCAGGGAGGGTCCTTTAAACCTATGTCTACTACAGCACTGAGGTGGCAAAACTAGCAGCTATGGCATTCAGGATTTCATCATGGCCTCGAAAGCATAAACGTACAGAAACCTGAAACCTGAATGGCCTGGACAACTCTGGCAGGATGGAGGTAAAGGTCATTCTCTCCAACACACACACTGTCAGTCAAATAGAGCCTGTCTGCTCTAATCGCATTGGGGGTAGCATATGTATTAGCTTGGGGGCATCCACAGACAGGTAGCTAAGAGCTGCAAAAAGTCTCTGGAGGGCCCCAAGCTGAACCCTTAAGGCTGAGCACACACACTGGCCAGATAGGAGGAAGAGGGACTGTGGGAGAGGGTTTGGGCTTAATGCAGGGGTAGAGGATAGGGACTGAGAGTTTGGAATATGAACATGATTGGGATCAGATTTGCTTTTTTGGGTACAATCTCTCTCAGTCCTCACATAGAAGACTGGCTGATGCAGACCAGGTAGGAGGTAGGAAGATCATCAAAAAAGTCGTCCAGGCCACCAGCTATACCTCAGGATCAGGGAGCAGCTTTAAAAAAACAGACCCACTGATCCATCTCTGGATGGGTGGGTACAGGGGCCTTGACTTTAACAAAGATTTCCAAATGACCCTTAGGCAAACACTCCAGCACCTGTCTGGAAGCCAGCATTTGAGAACTGTGAAATTTCAAGGGTCCAGCAGTAACCTGTGGCCCCAGGCCACAAAATTATTCTCTCAAGGAAGGACAGATCATTCAAGTGAGAACTTAAGATCCAGTTCTGAATATAGCAGAAAAATGTTTCCTGCTCTAATAAATAAATGAAAAGAACATCATGAAAATTACAGTGTGAAAACAGCAAAATTTCCCCATGAATCCAATTTTGTACTATTTCTTTACCTATTCTTTCACTTTTAAAAGAGCATTCCCATCCACTTCCTCTGCTTTTCTGCAACCATAGCCAACTTTTGACTGTTTTTCCATGCCTAGGTAGTGAGGATTAGATTAACATTTGAATTGGTACATCCAGTAAAGCAGAATGCTCTCCTTAGTGTTGGTGGGCCTCATCCAATCAGGTGAAGATCTGAAGAATGAAAGACTGAGTAAGTGAATTCTCTCTCTCCATCCAAGTACCGTCAAGCTGGGACTTCAGTCTTCTCTCTTCAGACTCAGACTGGAATTGACATGATTGATTTCCCAAGATCTCAGACTTTCTGATCAGACTACAACAAAACCTTTGGCTCTCCTGGAGCCCCAGCTTGCTTACTACAGATCTGGGACTTCTCAGCTGCCAGTACTTGCAGGAATCA